TGTCTTTGCCCTGTGGTCACGTCCTGCCCTTTTCCCCTCCCTCATTTATCTGTAGGATCAATTCTCTTCTCCTTTATTCACCTGCAGCATTGATCCTGTGGCCTTTAGACATGCAGGCTTAAATCTGGGCATCTTAGAAGCTCTCATCAGCAGCAACACTGGGTGTTTTCTTTCTGTTTGTGACCAAAAAGTATGTCAGCTTTTTAAAGAATAATTGGAAGAAGCAAAACTGGAATAATCAGAAGAGTTGGCCACATGGGTTTGGTTGGTTCTTCCTCAGTTTTTGTCATATTTCAAAACATCTCTTCCCACAGAGAAAGATTGTCATCTAATCCTGTTTTGAAAGTGGTAATAATTCAACACTCCTCTTTGGGTTGTGTATTTAAGGTTTGACTGGTATTATTAACTGTATCAGTTTAACATGTGGAGGTAAATCTGACTCATATATTCTTACTCAGCTTTGCACTATAATTACACTCCACACTTGAGAAGTTAGTCTTCAGCAACAGGAAGTATTCTTTTCCCACATCTTTGTCTTAACTTTGATTGGGCTAACAGGCTGAAGGTCTGCCAGCATCAGACCCTGGGTTGCAGGTTGGGGAGGGCAGTGTGATTATATCATTTTTTCTTAGCAATATTGTTGAGTACATACAATAATCTGACAGAATGTTGAGGGTTTTATATATGCTTTAAACATTTACTGTGCTATTGTTTTTAAAGTAAAACATAGAGTTTCACTTTTGCAAATAGCTTTGTTTTTAGTTCCTGCATTAGTTTATGCATTGCTCAGCTTGATGTCCAATCTGATGTTGTCATAGCTACAGCGGTGTTTATTTCTTCCTCATATTAATGGACTCGTGCAGCTTAGCTGTAGGTGAACTCCTCCACATCTTTTACTTCTATCCAAAGGAGCAGCTCCTGGCAGTGACGCGCTAGTCTCTTTATGATTTAAAGTATTCTTTTTTTGTGGTTTTTATGGGGGAAAAAATTAGCAGACTTATGTATAGTGCTAACGAGTTTTAAACTCTTTCAGCTTTATGAAAAAACTTCACAGTGGTTTAAAATGCACTTGTCTGTATTCATCCTTTTGAAAATGATTTAGGTTAAAAATATAACTTGATTGGAAAGATAATTTTAACTCAGGGAGAAGCTTAAATGTAATCTGGAGTGGACTTCAAGCTCACAAAACATGGGTGAATTAGAGCACTCCTCCATGTTTCCATTTATGAGACTCTCCACTTAAGATTGTGGGGTTCCCATCCAAACCTGTCTTGGTGCCCCCTGTATCCATTTCATCCTCCCTTGAGGTAACAGAATCTCACAGTGATGTAGTAGTCTCAAATTTTCCAATTACAAAATCACATATTTCACAACAATAGTTTGGATGTCTGATTTCTTATCCTGAGGTAGGCCGCATAACCACTTTTCTCTTTAAAGTAGTCACTCCCCAGGAATCTTGAAAAACTTACTTAAGAACATTTAAAAAATGTTATTTGATAATAAATAATATTGTGTACAAGATACAGTTGTATAGTGAATTTTTCAAAAGAACCTTGACTAATAACAAATTTTCTCAGTGGAGAAAAATGTAAGCATTTTTAAAAGTTGTGGTTAATATTGTTTTGCTTAAAATGATATCCTTTTATCTGAGAATGTAGACAGGTTAAATAACTACTGGAAAACTATATATATATATATATATATATATATATATATATAGTGTCAAAGTATCTTCCAGATTGCTTCTCAATCTTCACACTAGACAGACCTAAAGGAACCCACTTTAACTAAACGATCAGTTAACATAATTCATAGAGGATGAATGTCTAATGTATCTGCTGCAGTGCCTAAGCAGAATATGATTACAAGGAAGCAGCAGACATCCTAAATTGAAGGACAGGGTACAGAGTAATGACCGAATTCTTTAAAATTTCTAATTTCTAGAAAATTTGAGTTACTTGCAGATTCAAGAAGGTTAAAGAACATGTTATAGGAGCAATCAGTTGTGCTGGGTTGGATCATGGATTCAAAAAGAAAATAATTATAATGGAGATGGTGGCAATTAACATTAATTGAATATAAACTTTGGATTAGGTAACAGTAGTAGATCATTGTTAAACTTCATATTTTTTAAATTTTATTTTATTGAGAAACAAATAGCAAAAAGACTGTTTCAAAACTGATTAATAGGACATTTTCCATAATTAATACATTGTACATTGTTATCTTCTTAGTGGTTATCCATAGTATAAGATATAGACAAGATATCCTTTCCAAGCACTGTTAGTACAAATCTTTCTTCTCATTGGTTTAAGCAAAAGTAGGTTTATATGTCTCCTATTCTGTATATATAGCTACAGAATGGTCCTTCCTTTGTATCCCCTTTTTTTGTTTAGTCCTGTCAGAGATGGGTATTCCATTGGCATCTAAATACTATAGGTGTGTGAATTCAGCAAAACAATCCAACACAGTCCAGCAGTCCACAATAGTAGTAGGTTATCTGCAGAAGTTGTTGACTTGAGCCTTTCACAGCTCAACATATTAATATGGCTTTACTTTATATACCTCATTTTTATACTTTTCTGCTGGATGGTTAAGACCAAGATAAAGCAAGACCTATATAACAAGAAATGTAACTTTTGTATCTGATAGGACCAGTCAAGTCCCCTTAGGATTTATCCTGTAACCCTGTACAGCAGTTTACAGATCCTTTGTCAGTGTCAGCCACGTGGATGAGTCACGGCCATTGCTTGACCAATTTGCTCTCTGCAAAAGCCTGAGAGAATGTTTTCTCTCCCGGTGACTCTCCTTAGGCGCACTCTACATCACTGATCACTTTCCTCTATGGCCCCTTAATCTCCTTGATCAGAAAATTTGGGACACAACTGAGTTACGTGATGTACAGTATAGTTTCTCCTATGTCCTGAGTCTTCACTGACCTTGAAAGGCTAGGGACAAAATGTTGGCCCTTCTATTTCTCTAATTTTTGGTCTGCAAACTTAGGCTGTTAACCCTCCAGAAGAGAAGCCTATTATTACCCTACTGCATATGCAGTTGGATTTAACTTCTCTATCTGTCTGAATATCAAACATCTTAGGCATAACATGGAACAGGTATTTTCCATCAAGTATTGATATGTTAATAAACTTCATATTTTGAGGAAGGTTTTTGTTATGTAAGAGAATGTCTTTGATTTTAGGAAGTACATCGAAACTTAGATATAGAAGAACATGATATCCTTTTCATATAATTTAGAAAACACTTCATGGAGAGGGAGGGAGGAGTCGAGAGAAAGCAGTGGGGTAAAATATAAATAGTTGAGGCATCTGAGTAAAAGTCAAGTGAGAATCATTTGTGCTATTGCAGATTTTCTGTAAATATGAGGTTATATCTAAAAAGTTTTAGAAAGAGTATACAAAACCTAAAGTGCTTGCTTTGTGGAAAGTTAATACTGCTTCTCAACACATTTGGTAAACCTTAAATTTTAGGCAGTGAGTCCATGTTAGTCAGTTTTCATTTTTTGATCTAGGAACTTATTAAGAACATATGGACAGAAAACTAGATTTTTGTCTTTAAGTACTGAGTGTAGTTGTGAAGAAAAGAAGTAGTGCACTACAAAGCTAAACAATATAAAACAATATAATGAGTTAACTATGAGTGGTATATAATATACTTGGAAACAGAGAGTGGCAAATGTTTTCTATCAAAGGCCAGATGACGAATATTTTCTTATTTCTGGGTTTTTGTGGCCTGTGTCACTATACTCAGCTCTGTTTTTATGTTGGGAAAGAAGCCATGGACCACAGGTACATCAGTGGTGTAGCTGTCTCTCAGTAAAACATTTTTACCAAAAATAGTTGAAGGCTGATTTTGGCCCAGAGGCTGCAGTTGAATGAACCCTGTTCTAAAATGTAAACTGGGTTTTCTGGTACCAGAAGGGGTAGGGTTTGGGGACGATTTCATGAAGGAGTAACATGTTTGAAGTTCATAAAGGGCACTAACTACTGTTTTGGAAGAGGTAAGTGGATGGAGGTGAAGGCGTTAGAGGTAGTCACCCCTGGGTTCAATTTCTAGCCACATAGCTTACCTATTTGATAACTTGGAGAGGTTTTATAACCTTTGATTGCTGGTTTAGGAAATGAGAATAACCAAAGTGCCCCCTCCTAAAAATGGTGGATAATATCATGAGGGGTATCTAGTCTGGATTGCGGCTTCCAACTGGTACCCAGCAGCTCCTGCAGTCTTCTTCACAGCTGTCAGAAAGACCCCACTGAGATAGAAATTGGACTGTGTATGGCCATTCATTCATACTCCAGATCTCACACTGAGAGCTCCTCTCTGACTTTAGGATTCAGACTAGCCACTCAGTGCATCTGTATCACATCCTGCTTCAGTTCTCTCTGTTGTCAGATGGCAATCCCTGATCTCTTAGCAAGTAATGAGCCACAGTGTCTCTCTCTTTCTCAACTGCATCCTGAGGGCAGAGGATACTACCTTTCAGAGCAGACATTCAGTAAATAAATGTGGAATTAAAATAATGGGTTAATGTCCATAATATGCTTGACTGCAGTTTCAGGCCCATAAATGAGCACTCAGTAAGTGTAGGATCTATCCATTACTAACAGGTGGTATGGTGCACGTCTTTCCCTTAACAGAATGTTGGAATGAATTGTAAGGCTTCAACATGTGACCCGGAGAAGTATCCAAAGATCAAAGTCTGTCCACCTTAAGAAAAGTGCCAGAGCAAATTAGAGCCAGTATTTAGTTATTTATAGAGATTCTTTGGTAGTAAAACAAACAATTAAATGTTTATGAATGGATTTTAAAGTCTACAAGGACTTTGAAGCCAGAAGGTCCAACTTCTTTCCTGCCCACCATCTGTTTATCTGCGTTAGTAGGAAGGTGCACTATACCTCAGGGGAAGCGGGGAGGAGGAAAGGCTTGCTCCTTCAGGATGCTGACCGAACGCTGCAGTAACTGGGCTTTCTCTTGGTTTCTAGATGTTCACACAGAGGCTGTTCAAGCAGCTCTTGCTAAACACAAAGAAAGGAAGATGGCAGTGCCCATGCCCTCCAAACGTAGATCGCTGGTTGTACAGACCTCGATGGATGCCTACACACCTCCAGGTGAGCCCTGTGCTTGCTGTTTTTGCTTCTTAAATGTGATAAATGCTTTGGGATTCGCTGCTTGCACGGCAGAATGCCCTCTTTTCAGCTTTCACATCAGTGGTGGTATAAATCATGCTTTTGTGAACAGAAATTCCAGTTAACCTGGGAGGGAAAATTAGCATTACTATGTATGTAAATATGGACTTTAGACTTTGCATCAAGACTCTCATATATACGTTCTTTTAAAGACTTAGAAAATGCTATTTCTGCATATAGAAAAGCAGCTGTAACCCTATATTTTTAATTGAAGTTGGCCTTTTCTTCTGCTTAGACTGGTATAGACTTTATTTTTGACTCTATATAATATGAATACATTGTGGTATTATATCAGATTGGACAATATAGACAGTTACTTGAATCAGGGTCATTAAACTAGACTTTTAAAGTGATTACTGCCTGCAGGCCAGAAAGTCTCTTTCACAAGTACTTGACTCTGCCATTGTAGCTAGATGGTCAGGGAGTGTATGGAGTTGGGTCTTGCAGAACACAACTGGAAACTGTATTTACAAAAACAGATGGTAGTCCTGAGTTGGTCCGCAGTCCTGCCACCCCTGATCTGAATGGTTGAAGGTAATAGCCCATTTATGTTCTTGTTGCTTTAACACTATGCCAGAGGCTGGGATATGTATAAAGAATAGAGATTTATGTAGCTTGCAGTTCTTGAGGATAAAGAGTGTGGTTCATGGTCCTGTCTGTGGTGAGGGCGTACTGGCTATTTTCCTTTTTGTAATGATTTAGCCACAAAACTCTCTGCTGGGTCCCATTGGAACTCCTTTAATTCTTTCCTACATAGGACATGCCCCAATTACCTTGCCTTAGACCCTGCTTTTTTTTTTTTAATATTTATTTATTTATTTATTTATTTAGTGTGTGTGTGGCCAGCTCAGCCCACCAGGGGGCAGGGCTGGCTGGCATGTGGTGCTGGGGATTGAACCGCGGTCCCTGTGCTTTGCTTAGCTTAGCTTGTTCTAAGTAGGTGCTTTAGACCACTGAGCCATCTCACCAGCCCCAGACCCTGCTTTTTTAAAAGTTCCTCCACCTTCTGATACTAGTGAGGACCAGTCTTCCAACACGTTGTCCCTGGGGGCCAAACTGGAGCTATAGCAGTTATATAATGCTGCTTTTATTTCATTTTTAATTCCATATAATTATAAAGCTCTCTATTTCACTGTATACAAATATTTATAAATTGTATCATGATATTCAAAACTACAATGAAAGATAAAGTGAAATTATTCAGGTACCTATTAGGAACTTGAAGAATTAAACCTTTTTTTTCTTATTGATTTGTTTCTGAGGTCTTTGTTGCATCATTGCACCTATCTGTTTTGTTTGCTTTCTTTTGCTAATAACACAGCATTATAGTATGGACAAATTATAAGGAAAAGTGGCTTATTTTGGCTGGCAGTTCTGGACATCTAAAGCAAAGGCCATTACTGATGTGACCTCTCTATTAGCCTTCCTGGCATTGAGACACCACTCCCACCCTCACCACCCCCTCCCTTAGCACACTCAGCTCACAGTTCAGGGAGTGTAGTCCATGATCAGCAGGTTTCAAGGCAGCAGCATCATGGTGGCAGGCCATGGACCAGTGAAGAGACTTAGTTCATAGTGACTGGAAACCAGAGCAGGGCAATACTGCCGAAAAGGAGCAGAGATCAGACATAACCCTCAAGGCCATGCCTTCGTAACCCACCAAGACACACCCAGACAGATGCTCCACAGTCCCCTGAGCAGATCCCAAAGCCAATCAAATTGAGACTTTATGCCATAACCTCCTTCTGGGCTTGGTCCAGAGGACATCACATAGCAAGGGGGAACATATCTGTAAATGTGTCTCATCTGGTTCTGTCACTGTTGTGAAGTTAGCAGTACTTAATCCTGGGGCTCCACCCTAATGACTTAATGCTAATCACTTTCCAGAGGAACCACCTTTTAAGTGGCATAGTTGGTTTAACTTTCTACCTTTTAATCCTGTGAGTGAGAATTAATTTCAACACCTAAAACCATAGGGGAGACACAGTATCATTGTCACGTCTTTCTGATCTGCAGGTTTAAATTACCTTGTGTGCTACTTAAAAGTGATTAAAATGCTTCTAAGCTTTTTAATGCTACCTTTCCCTGTACAAGGTAAAGTAAGAATGAATGAACATATACAGCACCATTTAGAATCTCCTCCCTCCCTCCTTCCTGCCCTCCCTCCTTCCCGCCCTCCCTCCCTCCCTTCTTCTTTCCCTCCCCCCGCCCCCCATTTTCTGAGCTGGGTTTTGCCATGTAGTTCTGGCTGGCCTTGAATTCTGTGTGCAGTTGAGATTTCCCCTGAACACTTTGCAGTCCTTCTGCCTCAGCCTCCCTAATTCTTGGATTACAGGCATGTGTTTCCATGCTCAGTTTCTCTTGTGTTTTAAAGCTTAGCCCTGAGTGTTGGCAGACAGTGAGGGAAATAGGACATACTTTAAACCAGTGATGTGGCATGATATACCAGGTATGTATTAGTATATTTCAAACTCTTAAGTATCACAATTTATGTACTTTTCAAGTTGAAAGTATGAGCTGTTGAAACCAGGACTTTTACAATAAACTATATCCTCCGCACTCTGACTAGGGGTCTAACTAACTTACCTTGTCTGGGTCAGAAATTTCAGTCCTTTTGCCTGAGCCTCCTAGAGTACCTTTCTAAACCATTTTTTATAGTAGAAATGATGACTTTACAAGAAAGTAGCAATGTGGTTGGGTGTATGTTCTTCTCAGATTTGAAACCATCCACTGAGAACTGTTATTGGGTTCCCCAAGATAGATGAAAGGCAAAACGTTTGTGATGAGAAACAAACCTTGTTGTATAATTGTCTTTGGTTTTTTTTTTTTTTTTTTTTGTGGAACCAGGGATTGAACTCAGGCCCTTGTGCTTGCCAGACAAGAGCTTATTCTACTGAGCCATCTCCCTGGCCCCTGTATAATTGTCTTTGAAAAACAAAGAACATTTTTGGAAATACAAATTTTAGTGAAATGTTTCCCTGTGATTATTTAGCATTTGCATGTATGCCATATAGTACATTTTGCAAACTGCAATCAGGAGTCCTAATGATCCTGTTACATAGGATATTTTTTGCAAACGTAGATGTCCTCCTCATTATAAAAGAAATCTTTTATTCACAGACTGTTTAGTGCTTTTTAGTGGACTTTACATTTTTTATTATATTTGAAAAAATTTAGTTTCACTTCAGTTATTAGAACTCATTTCAGATTTACTCCTATGCAGAGAAAATCCCTTAAGTTTATATGCGCCACAAGAAATGACTGGTGGCTGAGCAGTGTTGTAGTTTCTAAAAAAGAGTTAATGTGGTTTGTTATTGTAGCCTTCTGTTGAAAAAACTTTCCTCTACCTTTTATTCTCCTGGTGTTGGATATTAAACTCCGGGTCCTTGTACTGACCTACATCCCCAACCCTTTTTTATATTTTTTAATTTTCAGGTAGGGCTAAGCTGTTTGTGCTAAGTTGAAACTTGTGATCATCCTGCCTTAGCTGGAGTGGTGGGATTACAAGCATATTCTATCACTCCTGCTTTCTTTAATTTTTAATGTACAAAATTACAGGAATAATTTCCCAAACTTCTAGTTGTAACAATGGGGTTCCCACTAACATATTTACTACAAATGACTATCTAATTGCATGAAGCAAACCTGCAGGTTTTTACCCTGTGTAGACCACCAGCAATACAATACTAAATTTGAGAACCTGAATTTGATCACCACAATTAATGTACTTATTTATATATTTAAATTTAGCTACCAACTGGTTTAAAATGTACATATCTGGTTATCACGTTTCGATTGGAAAATACTGTTTGTGTTTGATACAGCATAAGACAAGAGCTTTTGGGGCTGGAGAGATGGCTCAGTGGTCTAAAGCACCTACTTGAAACAAGCTTGGCAAAGCACAGGGACCGCGGTTCGATCCCCCAGCACCACATGCCAGCCAGCCCTGCCCCCTGGTGGGCTGAGCTGGCCACACACACACACACACAATAAATAAAATGTAATAAAAATAAATAAAAAAAAAGACAAGAGCTTTTAAGTATACAATTACAAGTACTCAAGACTGTACAAAAGAACTAAAGGAAAAAGTGGACTTAAGTTTCAGCTGAGCAGAGAGAGGACATTTATTTTTTAAATAAAAGAAATAAGAGTGCTTCAAGTTACCTATTTAAGAAGCTTAGAAGTAACTGCTTCATCCAAACAATAGTGAAAAGCTAAATAAATTAAAAATTGCTAACTCTTAGATCTAAGAATTAGATTTTAGCTTTGGTAGAACTAAGGTTACGCAACCAAGTGTAGTTCCCCAAATTGGACAGACAAATGAATGGACCGGGGAATCCCAACATGTGGGAGTAATAACCCTGGCAGGAGGCAGCATCGGGGCAGGAAACCTGAGTGGTCATCAAGTTATGGCCAACAGGTGGGGATGAATCTGAGCTAAATTTCAGGGGAGACCTGTACATACTGCATCCCTTTGTTAGCAGTGAGCCTCACCTGCAGATTAAGCAGGTTTTCAAAGTAGACATCTGTCTTAGTTACTTTTTACTCATTGCTGGGACAAATACCACACACTCAAATGAAGGAAGGAAAGGTTTATTTAGCTCACAGTTACTGGAGGGTTCAGTCCATATTCCGCTGGCTCCAAGGCAAACAACAGCAGTTCATGCAGCAGAAAACAATGAAGAGCAGAGGAGGATTGTAAAGATCAGTGGGACCCAAGCAGCACAAGTGTAAAGAGAATTTTGTCTCCATCCATAGTAGTGGAAATGTTGGAATCCAAAATAAAGAGGACATTGTGAAAATAATCAGTAGAAAAAAAGATTTTATGTACAAGAGGGCAGTCATTTCAGTAAATAATTACTTATTTGAAGATAAAATACAGGTTAGAGGTGATGGAATTCAACATCTTTGTTGTTGTTGTTAAGTTTGAGCCAGAGTCTCCTTGTGCTGCCAAGCCTGAACTTGGGCTTGGTGATCCTCTTGCCTCAGCCTCCCAGAGTGCTGGGATTACAGACACGTGCCACCAAGGCTCAGACATTTTTAAAGTCCTGAAAGGACATAAAAACCATCAGTTCATTTCCAGTAAACATATTCTTTACAAACAAGGGTGAATAAACATTGAGAACATGAAAGCCTAGAAGCTGTTACTCGCAGAACCAAACTGTGAACATTCTGTGGAATACCTTTAGGGTGATTGCACCTTGCTTCTGTAACTTCACATTTTTGTGGTTCACTCATGACGTTGTAGGCAGAAGTCGTTATTTTTGTCGAGCTGTGTTCTGTCAGATGGCATACTGCATTTTGCTGTTCCATTGACCACTGGATGTCTGTTCACATTGTTCCCTTGTTTTGCACTGTTGTGAATAATGTTTATGTCAACATTTCTATGTAGTTCTTTGTGTATATATTTGATTTCCTTTATCATGGATACATTTCAAGGAGTGGGTATTACTGAGTCTCACTGAAAGTTTTTATGTGCCTTTCATGTACTTTCTGTGGTTTATATCTAGAACTCCCCCCAAAGCCTTATGCACTCACTCATAGGTGGGGCTTTTGAAAAGTGATTGTGTCGTGGGGGTGCTGTAGCTAAATGTGATGTCAGGATGTGAGGTCAGGCCCCAAGAGGCAGGACACGCATTGTGTGACCTCGTGGGGTGTAACCCCTTCCCAGATTCCTGCCTCCTGAGGTGTGAGCAGCTTGCTTCAGCCCAGGCCATTCTACCATGCCACTGACCTTACAACGACTGAGACTGCTAAAATGTGAGCCAAAATAAACCTGCCCTGCTTTGAATTGTAGGTGTTTGGTATTATGTCACAGTGACAAGAAAATGACTGCACAATACTAGCCATATTTATCCAGAGTGTAAAGTTGTGCAGAATGACTGGACAGTTTCACAGTACCACCAACTATATATAGGCATTCCAGTTTGTTCACCTCATCACCAGCTGCTTTGTCTGTATTTTCATTACAGTCATTCTAGTGAATGTGAAATAGTATGTGTCACTTTTCATCACTGGGACAAAATGCCCAACCCTACAACCTAAAGGAATTGAAATTCATTTTGGCTCAGGTTTCATAAGTTTCAGTCCATGCTTGTCCTGCTCCAGTGCAGAAACCTTATGGTGGAAGGGCCTGGGTAGAAGATGCTGCTGATTCCCTAGCAGACAGGAAGCGGAGAGGAAGGGAAGAGCAAGAAGAGAGCTGAATCTTCCAGGTCACTTCCCAGGGACTCTCCTCTTGTGACCAGATCCTGCCTCCTAACAGCACGCACAGCTCTGAACTCTCCAGTGGATGCACCCACTTCTGAGGATATCCCCACTCCACCACAATCCATTCACTTTCTAACTGCTGTGCCTGTGAATGCATGAGTTTTGGAGGACGTTATAAATCTGAACCATAAAAGTGTGTGCCATTATCGTTTTAACTTTCATATCCTTAATAACTTATGTTAAATATCCTTAAATGTGCTTAGTAGTCATTTAAAAGAATTCCTTAAAGTTTATCCAGATATTTTGGCTGTTTTATATAGTGATTTGTTCATTGTTTTATTGGGTGTTAAGTTCTTTATATATCTCCTTAACAGAGATATTATTTATAAGCTGTAGTTGTCTTTTTATTTCTGAATTGTATGTTGTGATAGAAAGAATAATGTACTCTCTCATAAGTTGTTAAAAATGTTATGCTATTTCATAAAAGGAACTCTACAGGTATGATTTTTAAAAAAATTTTTGAGATGGAGTAGTTATACTGGATTAACCAGATAGACTGTAATAAATAAAGGTCTTTGTGGAAAAAAAAAAAAAAAAGAAAGGAGGTTGGGGCCAGAGGTGAAGTGGTGTAGTTTGAAGATGGAGGGACTGTGGGCCAAAGATGCAAGTAGGCAAGGGCTGTGCCCTTGAAGTATTTGGGAAGAGTACGGCCCTGTCAGAACTTCTATTGCCTCTAACCTGCATTTTATCTGCAAATAAGTCATTATTTACTAAATGACTGTTCTCTACTATGTAACGTCTTTTTTTTCTACTGATTATTTGCACAATTTTCTCTTTATATTTGAATTTCAACCACTATGGATAGACGCACATGACTTGGGGTATTTCTTCACTGTAGTCGCTAGCAAATCTCATCTCTTTCCATGTAGATACTTCTTCTGGCTCAGAAGATGAAGGCTCTGTGCAGGGCGATTCACAGGGAACCCCCACCTCCAGCCAAGGCAGCATCAATATGGAGCACTGGATCAGCCAGGCCATTCATGGCTCCACCACGTCCACCACCTCCTCCTCTTCCACACAAAGCGGAGGCAGTGGGGCTGCCCACAGGCTGGCTGACGTCATGGCCCAGACACACATAGGTGAGTACCCTTGGTGGCTGGGGTCTGTATCTTTCCCCATGTCTGCTTTCACTGTTAGTATCCAAGCACTGAGTACATAGTTGCATGTTTTGTTTGTTTCCTGACAATGGGACCTACGTGATGGACGCAGTCCATAGCCCCACTGATTCTTGGGTGATTTGGCATTACTGTTTAATGAAGCTCTTGCTTTATTGCCCTTTACTCACCCTGCCTCTTTCACAGCTGGAATTTTATGTGTTATTTGTACATAAAGGTTTGCAGCTACTTCTGTGTTTCTGTCTCGCTTATGCAAAAACTGTGTTTCTAATGTTTTAATAGTGCTGATATATGATTTTTTTTTTTTTTAATTTTAGGGAAAGGTCTACAGGGTGTTCAGGGTCTCACTACTAGATCGGACTTGTAGTGATCCTCCTGTTTACAGCCTCCCAAGAGCTGGGATTACAGGCGCGGGCCACCACGCCCAGTCCCAGTTGCTGTTTCAATGTGCTCTGGGGTGGGGCCAGCACAGCAGGCCCAGGGATGAAACCTCTGGCCCCTGCGCCTGCTTGCGCCTCTTTAATCCACTGAGCTATTTGGCCAGCCCTGGAAAAGGGAATTTTAAAGTGTATTGCATTGCTTTGGGACTTAATTGAGGAAATTTTGAGCCTTACTGTTTCAGTTATAATTATTTAGATGTATTAGATGCTTCATGCTTCTTGCTGTATAGTTTTTATAATAAAGCAGAGCATCTAGATTAGAAAAAGCACAAAATTAGGAAGGGTAGGCTTGAGATGTTTGCTAATAGTGGAGAGAAGGAGATGACAAAGAGTTATCAGACAAAAAAGAGCTGGAGTCCGTTGGGTGAGTAAGTGACTGAAGGAAATATGGGTCCTGTGATAGGTCATTCACCTCCACTGGGGCTGTGTGCCTCTCACTTACTGTGCCTGGGCAGGATCGAAGTTCAGGAAGCAGTAGAACACTTCTCGGTTGTTGCCCATTTTTCACTGTGGATTTAAGATGTTTAATCATTTCAATAATAAAAGTTTTTCATAAAGTAAATTAACTTGCATAGATTAGTGTTCACTGTATTCTTATTAAAAATAGCAACGAAGAACAAAGTTCAGGCTCAAGAGGCTGCTGCAGACTGTGTTGTTATCATTACGGGAAGATGAGACACAGGTGGAGATGGTCTAGCCATAGCTGCTCTGCTCCATGTTGTGAATAGTAAATACGATGAGTGAGTTAAAAACTCCAAAGCCATCTCAGATGCCCAGTGCTTAGTTCTAGATCCTTAACTATTTGATGGATGAAATAGTTTCTAACTGACATTTGAAATCTTAGCCTCATTCACACTCACCGAATGAAGCTTAAAAGCATCAGCCTTTCTTGTATCCAGAATGAGACAGTTTGTCTGTTGCAAGAAAAGTTGGATCAGTGCTCACTTCTTCCATTAACAAGAACTGAGATCGCGAAGTCACTTCTGTTCTTGTTTTGTAGTGGGAAATAATGGGGAAAAGTTTCTTATATCTATACCATTCAAAACAGTTGTGAGGAATATTCGTAATAAGTTTTAAAGCAATATCCAAATGAGAAGTGGTACTTTTTCAGGTGAACATATTTTCAGGGCCATGTGTCTGGCTTTCTGTGTACTAATAACCTCTTTTTGAAATCACAGAGAGTTAAACACTGAACAGAAATGTGTCACCATTACATATTTTTTTCTTTTTTTTTTAAATGTCTTTAGTTCAGGGCCTACAGGGCCTTACTTCATAGATCCTACTCGTAATGATCCTCCCGTTTTTTTTTT